AATCAAATACACCCAGTGCTCTCTATTTCCAGGTTGATAATCTTGTGTTTCACAATGACTTCCAAGGACATTCATTAATCTGCAGCACTCTTTCAACCAAATATCATTTCCATTTTTAACCTAATGCTTAGTGTCTTATAATTAGTTTAGTTTTCCTCTGAGGTGAACGCAACATAACCATTTTATTTCTTCAACCTTGCCAGGGGCTTTTGCCTGACATGTTCTTCCTATCCTCATATTCGAACCCACTCCATCATGCTGTGCTCCCACCAAGCACCATGTCTCTTAGAAACTGCCATTGACTTTCCTGAGCTTCATTATCCTCCCTCTTTCTTTTGAAACCTGTGACAGATATGGTTGGTACAGCATAAATCACTATAATGTTGGCTGCTGTTTCACAAGTCCTATTTTCCTTAATACAGTCCATTCTTTTAGGGGAGAGAATCATTCCTAATATACTTATGTGGTGCCCCAGCACCTAGTACAGTATTAATCCCAAAGTAGGTGTTCAATAAATACCTGGTGACTAATTGCATAATGATTACTTGATAGGCATTTTTTGGTGGGTGAAGGTTTTTTTGTTTTGTTTTGTTTTTTTAGATTGGAAAATATAGTTTATTTAGTAAGTAAATTAGAGAGAAGAAAGAGAGAGGAGATAGAGAGAGAAAGAGATTCACTTCCCAAGGTAGGGAAGCAGGCCAAAGCTAAGACACTTTGTGGTGGTAGCTCAGAGAGCCATGTGTATACACCAGAGTTGAACAAAGCAATGGTTTGATATTAAGTGTATCTCGTGTTGGGATGCTATATTATATTAACTTAGTGTTAAGTGAAATAGATGTCAAAGCCACCAGATGTATGGGAAATTATAATTATAATCATATTATTAGTCATGTGTAGCCTTAAAAGATAAATTATGGCATTAGAATAAAGTAGAACTGTCAAATTAATTTATAGGCATAATATGCAATTGTGGTCAGTTAATTCCGCAAATAGTCATTGAGTACTTATTCTGCTCCTGGCACTAGGGATGTAATGATAGACAAAAAAGGCATTATCTCTACTCTCTTGAAGTTTCCAGTCAGAAAGACGCAGACTGTGTGTGTGTGTGTGTGTGTGTGTGTGTGTGTGTGTGTGTGTGTGTTGTAGTCTCACTCTGTTGCCCAGGCTGGAGTGCAGTGACACTCTCACGGCCACCGCAGCCTCAACCAGGCTGGTGGGATCAGGCGATCCTGGCTCTGCCTTCCACATAGCCAGAACTACAGGTGCGCGCTACCATGTCTAGCTCATTTTTGATATATTGTAGAGACGAGGTCTCACCAAGTTGCCCAGGCAGGTCACAAACCCCTGGGCTCAGGCAATCTTCTCGCCTCAGCCTCTCAAAGTGCTGGGATTACAGACTTGAGCCACCACCCCCAGACCGAGGCTGACTTTCAACAAAATTGTAACAACTGTGGCAATAAGTACAAAGGAGAGGTACTTTTCACAATGATCATATATGCCTGCTGAGTCTTACCAAGTCCAGAAAGTCAGAGAAGGTATCACAGGGGAATTGTGTGGAGGGGCTTCATTTTCCACCTCTACCTGTCCCTGTGATAGCCATCATGAAGAACTCAAGAGGAGGCTGTACCTTTGCCCCCCCTTGCTGCTACAGTGCCACTCCCTGCAGAAGAGACAAGAGCTCAGTCCACGGTGAGTTTTCAGAGCTAGCAGAGGCACAGCAGAGAATGGGGAGTAGCTGTTTCTCGATGAGGCTGCAGTATCAACAGTACATTTTGAGAGTCTACACCAGAGAATGAAGTTGGCCACAGTAAAGTTAATATGCAATTGAAAATGGTTTGCAGAAAACAGGAGAATCTTAATATATCCATTTAAATATGTTAGATCAAATCCTCAGAGCCATATATTGGAATTTCCTTTGGCTTCAGGAGGAAACTTGAAGAGCTTAATGGAAAATAAATGTCCTTCAGTATTTTGTAACTGCTAACAGAGAAGGTAACTTTGATGGACTCCTAGTATCTGTCCTAAATAGTCAGAGCAAATACTCCTCACTACTCTGCCTCGTCACAGATAAGAATTGGATAAGTTACATGCCTTTCACTTTTGACAAAGGGAACAAACTGTAAAATGCTGCTATCTGAAATAGAAAATGTGGCAATACGTTTTATATCCAGTCAAAAACACTTCACAGCTAAATTTGAAACACAGAAATGGGAAGATTTTTGTATCCTTCTGTTGTGCTCCAGAACACATATAATCATAAACATGTACACAATTTTAAAACTACAATAATGTATCGAGATGAAATAACCATAGTTACGATGAAACTCGGTTGTCCAGTAATTTGTATTTGCTTAAATTATACCTATACCTACACTAGAACGTTTAAAAGAGTAGAATGTATCATTTATATTAGATTTATTTTAGAGCATGTCATATCACTTTGTGGCATTTTGTCTGGCAGAGGGATGCTATATCACAGACGTCAAATGGCATACCAAGTTCTCCTCCCCCTTTCTTTGCAGACTTGTTTCCCCACACTCTTCCTTGCCCTCGGTCATTAACAGTTTATGACAACATTGTGAGAGATGTGCTTGTACTAGCTTGCCAGACTCTAAGATTGCTCTGTGACAACCTCCTCCATGTTATTGAATAATTCTTGTTCCAGAAAAATCTTACTCATATGTTATTCCCCTAATCAAGAAAATTTAATGTCTCCTGTCTTAGTTTTTTACCATAACAGAATACCACAGATTGGCTAATTTATAAACACTATAAATTTACATGGCTCACAGTTCTGGAGTTTGGGAAGTTCAAGTATATGGTGCTTGGCATCTGGTGAGGACCTTCCTACTGTGTCATCTCATAGCATGAAGCTGAAGGGCAAGAGAGTGTGCACTAGAACTAGAGAGCAAGAGTAAGCTGAACTCACTTTTATAACACTCTTGAGAGATTTTGAAACACTCCACAGACTTAGATACCCTCAAACAAACGACAATCCATTCATGCTGGCAAAGCCCTCATGACCTAATCACCTCTTATTAGGCCCCCCACCTCCCTACACTGTTGCACTTAAGATTGTGTCCAACACATGAAATTTGGGGGGGACATGCAAACCATAACATCAGTTTACAGACTTTCATGACCTTTGTGCAATCAAATCTGTCCATAATCTGAGTTACCCATACATAGCCAAATTTATTTTTTAAGTATTCCTCACCCTTTCCTTCCACTCATCATTCATGTCCCTTGTCTAATATTGTGTGCTCACTCCTGCCTCTGTAACATTCCCTCTATCTAGAATGTCTATTCAAATTATCCTCACCCTTCAAGGCTCTGCCCAAATCCTACCCCTAACTCCTGAAGCACTTCACCTCTACTTGCCATGTTCTTTTTCTTTTCTCACCCTGTTACAGTCATTGCCTATAATCCACAACCCACACATTATGATCAGTCTTACTCCCTATGCTTTATAATCTAGAGCCTTTTAAAGAAATTCACTATGCAGAGTGTTGTATTTTAAATAGAATGAGAGGCCACCCCACAAATATTTGAATGAATGGCATAGAAACCCTAAACATTTGGATGAATAAGCTACAATATATAATTTACAAGATAAGTAGCATATTTATTTAGTAAGTAGAATAAATATTTTGTAAATGCCCTGTAGTGGCATTGCAGAGTAATGTTTTATTCATAAATATAGACATATATTATTCAAAATATTGTTCACTCCTTATTTCACAGGTGAACATCATAGAACTTGAGAACCAGAATGTTCTTGGTGATAACTTATTCTAACCTCATCATTTTACTTGGAAGGTACAAGGGCTCATATGTCACAATTAATAAGAAACATCGTTGTAATAAACCTTACGTTTATGGCAAACATTAAATGCAATGTTTTTCACCAGTGCTTTTTGTCTTACCAGCTGCTTTCAGCCTGCATTATGGACAATAACAAGACCTGTCTTAATTCTTTTGTGTTCCATGATATTACCTTGCAAAGTGCCGAGACCATAAATAAGACTCTAATAAGATTTTGCTCCAAGAAGAACCCATGTTTCTTTCTTATTATTTTTCAAAGTTACTAAATTTCCAAATATTACTAAGATTTGAAAAGAATTTGGAATTATTGCAAAACAAGGTGTTTCATGAAGTCTCAGTTGTTTTCATTCTGGTTTTTAAAAACACTTGTGAAGTATTTTTTAATATAGTTACTGAACTGTTTCCTAAAAAGCAAAAACAGAATGGTACAAAAAGTGAAGGAATGGGTAAATATGCTCTTCCCTAAGAGTACATGATGCCTTATGGTCTCACGCCAGGTTTGAAGGAAACTTGGGAAGTATTTTACTCCTCACATTCATCTTACCACATGACTGTTTTGATTTTTAAAAATCCTAAATATGTAAACATACAGTTCTAAAATAATCAGTTTGGTTGTGGGGCCATATATGCATCTTGACAAGGTTATTCTGATGAAAACAACTATCAGAGTTGTTTCTGTAATGAATTTGAAGTGTATAGATCATGACAAAACTCACTGAATCAACAGCTTTTCAGAAAAGAAAAAAACTAGTGTTTGAATTTTGGCATTTAATGAAACCTGCTCAAACTTTCATGAACTTTACATGTACACACATGTAGATGTAATTAAACACAAGTAGCTTGAGTATGTATCACATGATGTGTTCCTGGATAACAGAAAATGGCAATGTATGGCCCGGGTGACCTTTGGAAGTGATGCAAAGCTCGGTGAATAAAAGGAATTTCCTTGTTAGGCCAATGTCTTTTCTGAATTAGTGATAAGAGTTCAATGGGACCCTTTTCCTCCTTCTCTTCCTTCCAAGTTCGCATCCAGATCTGGGAGAAGGAAAGGGAGGTTTTATAATTTACCCCACACCAGTTCATCTGCCCGGTAGTCTGATGCCAGTCAACAAGATAAAAACTTGTTCATTTTAATGCTGCAGACTGAATGTTCTATATTCTCTTTTATTTTTCAGATTGTATTTTCTGTGAGTCCTGATCAAATGATACAAATGCGCTGCAATGGTGACATAAACTGTTGACTGAGACTGGAAAAGTATCTGAAACACCATCTTTTCTTTTACTTTTTGATGGTGCTTCTATCGGAATAGTCAAGGAAAGTATATACAACATGAGTTTTATCATGAAGCTTCACAGACACTTTCAAAGAACCGTTATTCTGCTTGCCACATTTTGTATGGTGAGCATTATCATTTCTGCTTACTACCTGTACAGTGGCTACAAGCAGGAAAACGAACTTTCTGAGATGGCTTCAGAAGTGGACTGTGGTGACCTCCAACACCTACCCTATAGGCTAATGGAAGTGAAAACGATGAAGCCTTTTGATGCCTCAAGGACAGACTCCACAGTCCTAGTGTTTGTGGAGAGCCAGTACTCATCCCTTGGTCAAGACATCATTATGATTCTGGAATCAAGTAGATTCCAGTATCACATTGAAATTGCCCCTGGAAAGGGAGACCTCCCGGCACTCATAGACAAATCTAAAGGCAAATATATTCTCATTATTTATGAGAATATTTTAAAGTATATAAATATGGACTCTTGGAATCGAAGCCTTCTAGATAAATACTGTGTAGAATATGGTGTGGGGGTCATTGGATTTCACAAAACTAGTGAGAAGAGTCTTCAGAGCTTTCAGTTAAAAGGGTTCCCATTCTCCATCTATGGAAACCTTGCAGTAAAAGATTGTTGTATTAACCCTCATTCTCCATTGCTTCATGTGACCAAATCTTCTAAGCTTGAAAAAGGTTCTTTACCTGGAACTGACTGGACAGTGTTTCAGATTAATCACTCAGCCTACCAGCCAGTAATATTTGCCAAAGTAAAGACCCCAGAAAACCTTTCTCCTCTCATCTCTAAAGGTGCTTTTTATGCCACTATCATACATGACCTGGGGCTTCATGATGGAATTCAAAGAGTACTTTTTGGCAACAACTTGAACTTTTGGCTACACAAGCTCATCTTCATAGATGCCATCTCCTTCTTATCAGGGAAGAGGCTTGCATTGTCCTTGGACAGGTACATCCTTGTGGACATTGATGATATATTTGTTGGAAAGGAGGGAACGAGAATGAACACCAATGATGTAAAGGTAAGGCTCAATTACCTCAAAGTTTCAAAGTTTAGTTCATCTCTCGGTAGGGCTATCAACTCTCCCAGTGTGTACTAGGACTAAAGAGTTTCCCAGAATATGGGACTTTTGTTTTATTGGGAAAGTCTGGGACAAGCTAGAATTAGTTGGATACCCCTTCTCTCACCCTAGATCAAATAAGTAGATAATATATTTTCCTCCAAACCAAAAAAAAAAAAAAAAAGAATATACTAAAAGAATGCATGGGCCAGAATCCTGAAATGGCTTTCTGTGTGTTTTTATAATTACAGAGTAGAAACCACGTTGTTTCGTTACTTTCTAGAAACCATCTACTTTAGGAAGCTAATTACTAATGTAAGACTTTGTTCATTTAAGTATAAAATTAAAGCAAAGTTGTCTTAATGATAATAAATACTTTCAAGAATTTTCAAGAATCACAGATCTTGTGAGTAGCAAGTTCAGATTTTTTTGGAAGTCAAATATGCAACTCATTTTCTCTTATATTTTTCTGAAATTCTGAAAATTAGCATTACTAAATATGGAGAGCTGTGACTACACAAGCATATTTATTCACATATAAACATGAAGATTTAAACTGATTTTAGTGAGCACTTCTGGTACACATATGAAGCCCATCATGCTGTATTTAAATTACATTTCATATCTTATTGTGTGAAGCTGCAGCTCTTAAACAGAAAACAATTATTTGAAGAGAATTTGTTATTGTTATGAATCGATTGTGTTACATAAACAATTGATTTTTAATATTGATGAAATTTAAAATTAAAATTATCTGCATTTATCTTAATTCAAATACGATAGTATTCTATTTCTGTTATTCTACATATAGATTTTTCATAAAAGTGAGATTTTGATACATAATTTTTCTTTTCTACAGTTTTGACCTTTTGGTAGAATATCTAGAATCAAACTAAATCAGATGCAAAAAAAAAAAAAAAAAAAAAAAAAAAAAAATACATCTTGAAAACTGTGTCCTTTTTTTCTCTAGTCACTAAGCAGCTGGCAAATAATAGTAATGCTCATTGCAGTAGTTAAATAAGCTAAGAATAACAGAAGGACCACTAAATGCTACTATAAGAAAGTGTGAAGACTGAAAAGAAAAAAACTTCCATATTTTTGGCATTATTTTAGTCCAATAGAAATTAATTAATAAAGAAGATGTACTAAGTTCCCATTAAGTCTTTTGAAATTTACTTTGAAAGTGTAGCTAGGCTCGGCTCAGTGGCTCAGCCTGTAGTCCCAGCACTTTGGGAGGCCGAGCCCAGTGGAATGCCTGAGCCTGTGGGTTCGAGACCAGCCCGGGTAAGTGGACAAGACCTCATCTCTACAGTGAATAAAAAATTAGCTGGGCATGGCAGCATGCACCAGTGGTTTCGGCTATTTAGAAGGCTGAGATGGAAGGATTGCTGGCGCACAGCAGGTCAACGCTGGGGTGGCCATGAGTGTGCCACTGCACTCCAGTCTGGGCAACAGAGTAAGACTCCAACTCAAAAAAAAAAGTAGCTCAATTAAAAGCAAGCTAGTAGCCTAAGCATATATTATGTGCTAGAAGATTATAAACAATACGTAATTATCTTTTCAATTTTTCCATTTCAAACTATTATGATAAAATGTATTTAATATGTGCATATGTCTAATGGAAACTGTCAAACATATTGTTATGGCATTTAAAATATGCTAAATAAATCTCTTAAGTTTTGTATGCAACACCTCATATTCCTTAATATTATACAAAATAGAGTGGCTTTTGTGCTCTAGAGGGTAAGCTATTTTTTAGAGGCATGAAAAATTAAAGACTTACAGAACACATTAAAGAAAAATTTAGTATGTTTACTTTGTGAATTGCTCATATTTTGCTAGAAATATATGTTCTAAACTATAAAAAGTATGTTTTCAATTATCTAGGTTTTTAAACTACTTCTATATTGCATCTTTGATTGGCTCGCAACACTAATTCATTGCAACCAGTTGTCCTGAGAATATAAACACTCATTTATGCATTCTGTAACTAATTATTAAGTGTGTGCTACATGTGAAGCACTTTGGGGGACATATAGATAGACTCTTAAACTGTAGTCCCATCCCTTTAGGAGAAGGGACAGGGAAGATATATATTCATAGAAAAGCACTTTGTGCTGAGCACCTATCTTCTCAGTACTTGATATGGCCACAGGCTTTAGGAATACAAAGATGAATAAAGTATCTTGTGGGGAAGATAAATAGCAACATGGTAAGTACAATAGCAAAGCCATCTACACAGTTTCATATAAGTTATTCTGTGAAAAACACTATAGTTTGTGCTGTGTATTAGGCATTAAGTAGTAGGACAGAGTCTGAAGGCAAGACTAGAGCCATGTGATGAATTGGGAGCCTGTGGCAATGATTCAGACAAAAGATGACACTTTCTTGAAACCAGGAAATTGGAGTAAGAATAGAGAAGGAAAGACCAATTTAAGAGCTATTTAAGAAGCAAAACTGAACAACTTAGTAATTAGCTAAATGGAGCTGAAAGAAAATACAATCAAGAATGACTGATCCTAGGATTTTTTAGTATAGGTGAATAATTGTTGGTGATACTAATAACAAGAAGAAAGAGGATCCTAGTGAAGGTCATCAAAAGGTCATAATAAAAATTTCAGTTTTAGTGAAGTGCATGTGGGATGTATGGGTGTTTCATAGGTAGTTGCTTCACAAGAGAAGTCTGGGACAAAAATATTGATTTCAAAGTCATCATCCTATAAGGAAAAGTTCACAGCATGAAGATGTGTGGGATCAGCCAGGGAAAGAATTTATAGAGCGATAAGAGAAGATAATCAAGTGTAGGATCTTGAGGAAAACTATCCTTCAGAAAACAAGTAGAGGGAGATATCCCATGAATAAGAGTTTAAAAGAACAGCCAAAGACCAGGAAGTCTGATGCTATCAAAGCCTTGGGAGTAAAGAGTTTCAGGAAGGGTGTGATCAAAGACTGGAAAGTATCCATCAGGAAAAGACAAAGGCCATTGGGGCTCCTGCATAACTTAGGTAAATGTAGTGATAGAGACAGGAGCCCAGTCCACAGTGAGTTCAGGAGTGAACTAAGGGGTCAAGATGTGAAGAAAGACAGTGTGAGATGTACAGTGGATACATTTTGATATGAAGGCAAGCAGAAAAATTAGGTAGTAGCTGGAGGGTAGGCTGGTGTTAGGGGAACCAACTGTCCTGGTTTGCCCAGGACTGTGGGTATTTAGTGCTAAAACTCAGAGTCCCAGATTTAGTTATGGTGACCTAACTAATTCAGGTAAGGGAAGGAATATCACAGACCATAAGGTCTAAGGAAAGGTCATAAATTTTGTGATTAAGAATATATAATTAAGAAATGTTTTAATCAAGTTCTTTTATTTAATCACCACTTCTGAGCAAATATTACATTTTCCCTATTTAAAGTATTATGAAAATTGGAAAGAACATGGAAAAATCAAAGGACACCTATTCTGTGACTTGCAAAATTAGGAGGATAGTCCATAATATAAACTGTAACTACAAATCACTGCATAATTTTTATTTTTTTCCTAATGTGGAACAGAATAGAAAATGTGTTCCCTTATTTAATGGGAAGTTTAGAATTAGCAATGCAATATTAGCCTTATCTGCAGAGCTGTTGACTAATATAAACACATTTTAGAGAGCCTCCAAGCTACAAAAGAAACTATGACATAGCACAAAATACGTGACTCTTCGTGCCAGAAAAGGGCAAAAACAAAAAAACAGACCTAAGTTGGTGTCTTCATTTGTCTAGGGATATGTAAGCAACAAGCCATAGACCTTAACCAAAGAAGAAAATAGTTTAGACAATTAAAATATTCTTCAAAAAAGGCAGGATCCAGCCGGGCTCGGTGGCTCAGCCTGTGATCCCGCACTTTTGGGAGGTTGAGGTGAGTGGATTGCCTGAGCCCGCAGGTTCGAGACCCGCCTGGGCAGCGAGACCTCATCTCTACAATAAATCAAAAAATCAGCCGGGCGTGGTAGCGCATGCCTGTAATTCCGGCTACTCGGAAGGCTGAGGCGGAAGGATCGCCGGAGCCCAGCAGGTCGAGGCTGCGGTGGCCGGGAGCGGCCACTGCACTCCAGCCTGGGCGACAGAGTGAGACTCCAACTCCAAAAAAAAAAAAAGGCAGGATCCTACACTTGATTATTTTCTCCTATCGCTCTATAAATTCTTTCCCTGGCTGATCTCACACATCTTCATGCTGTGAACTTTTCCTTATAGGATAATGACTTCAGTTAAGCAGGATTAATTTCAGTTAAACTGAAATCAGAAAAATAAGGTGTGTGTGTGTGTGTGTGTGTGTGTGTGTGTGTGTGTGTGTTTCATTGGACTATTGGACTAGTTTTGTGATGTTCAAAAATTCAAGATCCTTGTGCTCTAAGACCCACCCTCCATCTTTCTGAGATGAAGCCTACAGAAAGGGTTTTTGAGGAGGAAAAATGATGTTTCTACCATTTTAAAAAGCTTCTACCATTAAAGCATTTTAGTTTTACACGAAACCACTGAATAACCCAATGAACATCAACAACCTATAATCCCTTTTGGAATCATTAATTTACTCTTGGCTCAAAATCCATTATACCTTCAGACTTACCATTTCATATAACATATGAACCCCAAGACAGCTGAGAAGTTGAATGGGAAGATTCTGGAAAAGGTTCTTTCAGGGTTTTACCAGACTCTGCAGTTGAATACACTCAATAAATAAAAGAGATTTTCTACCTCTCTCTCCTGTGTCTTTCCCTCTTCTCTCTTTCTGTAATAGGGCACACATTCCTTTCTCACTCTGACAAATCTCCTAACGAGCATTAGAAAATGAAAAACCTTAGCCCAGTCACACCTGAGCTTACTGAAGAGTGTTCTGTAGCTTCTTCTGGAGAACCTCTCTCTCTGGAGAGTCACTCTCCCCTCCTCACTACCTCTAACCTTTCCCACTATGTCATTATAGTTCA